TCCTAATGTACATACTGAATATGTCCACTTCATATCTCTCCCACTGCTAGTAATAGAAATGTTCATGTCATGAGAACACCAACTGTGAGTTTGTTGGGTTCTTACTTACTCTTTCTGACCCACCAATGTCCAGCAAGATCCTAACGAAGCACAATGGATGACGTTTAACTCATACTGGGAAAACTACAGAGTAAGGAAGGGTCTCCTCCCAAAAACATGTACGCTTTTATTTGGTTTCAAAAGAATTTCTCCTAGTCAACATAACTAACCACTCACATTTCCATTGTATTCTGACCTTTTTTTTAAAAATGAAGGACTTGAGATAAATTGTTCCTTGTAGAGCACAGCTACTTTTGATGTTGCACTTTGACACATTAGGCCTGCCATGGGAAGCCAACCAAGGAGTCCGCACATCTCAGATCTAACCAGCAACTACAATGTGATACAAACAACCTTCTGTATCCATAGCTAGAAGAAGCCAATACAATTATTAGAAATGATCGATTGGCAATACCAGTGCAGCATGTGTATTCACTTAATCATTTTATTACCATATACATAAAGATATATATTTATTTATACAGTGTCATATCTTAGGCAAAATCCATCCACTTACATAGAGAATTTATAGTAAAACATATGAATTGCACAAATACAGAAAATCGGCCAACATTTTTTTTTCCCAAGAAATATCTATTCCTTAACACTGACATGAAGGAAAATATAAAATGTCACTCAGGAGGTGCCCAGCCAGGGAATGCGGTCATATAATGAGACACTAAAACATGGCTGTATAATAGCATTTCCAAAAGAAACGTCTTTCCATGTAACAGATCAAATCATATCTCTACAGGTAATTATGGTTAATCAATCCTTAGACATTTAGGGCTGTCGTTATATAAAAAATGCATAGCTATTTGTCAAGCAAAACTGCATTTTGTTCTAGGGGAATGTGGCAAAATTGAAAACTCTGCTAGCTCCCCTACAGGTCAAATGTTATTTATTCATAAAAAATACAGTGATGCAGGAAAATACTGCATTATGGCCACTAGATGGCACTGAGGATTGTGCTCATTTTCTATAATCCTCAGCGCCATCTAGTGGCCATAATGCAGTATTTTTCTAAACCACTCTATTTTATGAATGGATAACATTCAACCTGTAGAGGAAATATAGAGGAAAATGTGTTTTTTTTTCCATTCGCACATGATCACAAATGAATGTACCAGCAGTTTCATTGGATAAATAGCTATGTATTTTTTTTAATACACCCCTTAAAGTAGTACAGTAAAACATATACTAGTGAGAATTAAGAGCCATAACATATTATGAATATAGTTGTCAGACACACAAAAAAAAACAAATGTCTTTGCAGGCTCTAGTGAACTATCCTCCAGCAAACTAGCTAGTATAGTATGCTGGGATTTGTGCTCTCTCTGCATCTATGGTCATGAGAGCCCTGTAGGTAAGATCTGTGTAATCTGCCACTGAGCGGCCTGGAATTTACAGCAGAAGTTATAGCCCATCTATCCACCTATAAAAGGTGGTTTTAGTGGTTTGTATTCATACCTGGCTGGGAGTGACATTTTTATTTCTGTAAACCACCTGTTATGATACAGTGATAAAGGTACAACATAACACAAGAAATATGTTCCTATTCTAAAAAGGACCACAATGAACAAGCTTTAGGACGAATATCATTTATACCGAGTTCATATCCTCCACAGGGTATTCTTCATCTGTCAACATTCAAAATTAACTGCTAACTTCTCACCTGGATCTGTATTGAGATACTAATGGTCTGTGCTGTGTCAAAGATACGAATGGTGATGAATCATAAACTGGGGATGTTAATCAAACAGAAATGTTAGTGTCCTAGCAACCAATCACATTTAACCCAATTTATATGCAGGCAGGAAAGTGAAGACAGGGCTCGTTCAAACCATGCTTGTTGAACTGCACGGATCTTTAATCAACGCAGGCTCAATGCAAGGGCTTTCTTTGTGGCCTGTTCACCCCATAAATACATACATACGTGGTGGGATGCACTGTGTAAAAATGCAGCATGTATGGACTTTTATGCAGCTCAACTCACTGCACTCTATACTACGTGATTTTGTGAATGTTCAATAAAGTAAAAAAAAAAAAAGTAAAGCATGTGATGCGGTACAATGCATTGCACCACCCCAACACAACGTACACCAGCGCAGATACATTTTAGTGTCCGGGCTGGTGTGAATCAACATGTGAAGGATGAGTCTGCCAAAAGCCTATAAATGGTCCAGGAAAAATGTATTAAAGAATATGTAAACCCAACTTTTCATTTTCCTGATATATACCTGCTGCACAATGTACATGTATGAAAAAGTATTATGTATTGCTTCCTTTGTGTGAAATCCCTGGTGTTCCTGCCAGTCCCTCTGCTTTCTAATTAAAAACTGACCACACTAGGAATGAGAGCACAGTGTGGTCATTTCTCTAGCTGTGCTGGGAATTTAGCCTGCTCTCCTCCAATGATCAGACTTCTCCTGACATCCCCCTTCCACACAGGCATTCGCTGGAAAGTTCAGTGTACTACTGTTCCTCCTCCCCTAGATTTGTAATGTTTTTAATATCTATACATGTTTTGCCTTTCATTTCTACTTTAAACTGGATGGGTTGTTTTACAAGGTGTGGGGTTTACATATACTTTAATCTTGATAAAAAGTCAGTTGTGTATAGACGATGCATTTTGGGGACAAACAAAGCCTCCTTCATCAGGGCTAAGAAACCGAATAACGTAAAAACTATATCAATATGTGAATCAAGTAGCCAGATGCAAAGTCTATTGCACCAATGAAGTGTAAGAACATGCGTTTACACTTTTCATTGATGTAACAGAATTTGTACCTGGATACTTTTAGGTTTATTTATTGATATTGTTTTATATTACGGTTTCATAGCCCTGATGAAAGGGATATGTGAGCCCCCAAAACATGTCGGCAGTACCTACTGTTTTTTTTTCTATAAAGGTTATTACATTTTTACTGGACCATTTAGAGAACTGTTGTGCTCTCATCCTTCACACTTTCACTGGATCATTCCAGGAACCCATAAAGCTACCCTGTTTGTTAGAAAAATGCCTTTTAAGACTAATATTTGCACCAGATCACCCTTATCTTTGGGTCCAATGCTCCTTCACCACCTACTTTATACAAAAGGTGATGCGGCACAAAAGTTCTGGAAAATGAGTCCGCCTTCATTCTTGGCTTAGTACTGTAAGGCAGCCAACCTGGTGACAGAATTGGCCCTATTTTTTTACAAGTGGCCCCCTAGCAGCGGGGAACAGGCTGCACCAGTGTTCACAGCACACCAGAACTTCATATTAGTAAACTGGTTACTATAAGTGACACTTTTACTTTTTGATCCAGGTTTTATCAATAAACCTGTATAGAATCAGTGGGGGATGGTTACAGAGGTCTATACAACAGAATGGATTCACACAGCACATATAGTATCACAATATACTATAACTGTATATTACTAATTTCTTAGGAAGGTTAAAGGAGAACTCCACCTGGGGTAAAATAAGCCCACAAACTTACATATTATCACATTTAATTTTCATGTCATGAGCTGCAAAAAACCTGATCTGGGCAGAAAAATCGATTCTCAATTCAGGTTACCATTTATAGCATTGGGATATGGGAACAGCTATTACTGGCTCAGACTACATTCTGTTAAATGCATAGTTTGACAATTTATTTGATATTTGCTTTTATATGCTGCTGCAGGTTTCAACCGGTTTAGAAATATAATGTCTTTAAAAGTGTTCAACAACAAACAGCTAAATCAAGAAAAGTGCTATTTATATGGCCATGTAAGTAATGCATTTTTGGCATTCCCAGGAATTCTCTTTTAACCATCTCTTTAAAAGACCAAAACCCTAAAAACCATGGGAAGCCTAAACCAAACAGCATCATTAACATCTATTACAACAATATATTTAATTGTTTTGGAAATCGATCTGAACCATGTATATCTTTTCTAATGTTTTCATCGGAGGGAAGATATTATTTGATGCACAGATGATATAGTGTACTTACTCTGCCAGTCTTTCTTCCACCTAAAATGGCAGATTATCAGGAATATACCAGTACGTTCAAAGCAAACAAATACAGTGTTCAATAAATCTGGTTTTGTACAAATACTGGTACATTTCATATAGAATTATTAAAGGTGAAATCCGATTATGTTTTATTGGCTAAGCAGCACCAAGGACATAATTGACCTGTAATGAAGGGTATCATGTCCAGCTGGGCTGCTGCATTGTGTTGAATTCTCCTCTGTGCAGTACTGATCTTTCGCCTTCTTCCTCCATTCACAGAACTCCATTACTATCCTTTCCCAGAATGCAAAGTATTCTGCAAATGGGGCATGGCAGGTGAATGACTGGTTCTGCCTCCTTCAATCACAGTACAGTACTCATTCTGGGAAAGAAAAATACAAGTTCTATGAATGGAGGAGTCTGGGGAGCACTAACTCTTTCACACTCTCAGCGGATGATGTTAACTTTAGTATGGAAAAAGATCAGCACTGTGGGGAGAACTCGGCAGCAGCGAGGGGAAGATTTCACTACTACAAAGCAGCCAGCCAGACATAGGATACACTTGACTAGCGGTAAGTTATGTCCTTGGTGCTGTAAAGCAAAAATGTAATTAAACTACAGCTTTAATGCTAATAATGGATATTCCACATAACCAAGTCTTGCTACAGGATTCATGGCCCTTTAATTCCCTCACAGCCAGATGAAAGGCATTGCAGGAAATGGGTAGAACTACTATTGATTAACAGCTTTAAATTAAAAGGAAATCTCCACATGATCAGTTATATAAAGCCTTCTGAATCTTTACATCTGATGTCACACCCAGTCCACACGGAATTATTTTCAGCCTGTAAGGCAAAGGAAATGTCTGCAGGGGAGGAGGAGATGGTAGAGGAGTTATGGTGGGAATCAACCTCTAGAAGATAGGAATGTAGTTGTCAATCTTGGCTCGGTGCCTCTGGGCGATACACTCTGCAATCCATACGATATTTCGGCACTCCTGCTCCTTTAGCTTTACAAAGGCATAAAATACCCCAAAGTGGAACTGGTTTAGAAAGGCCAGTTTATTTAATTTCACCTGTAAACAGAGAAAGATGGTTGTCAGTATGCACAACTGAATGTCACTTTAACCGCTTCTCGCCCGCAATGTACTGCGGCCAGGCGGCAGCTACAGGCAAAGCGACGCACCTGTATGTCGCCCTGGCTGTACTAACACAGGGGGTGCTGCGCACCCAAGTGGCTGCGCATCGCTCCCCCCCCACGACTGCTGTGGCCAGCTGACACAGTGGAATGAAGATCCCGGTGAACCCGATCGCTATGTAATCACATGATCACAATGTAAGCAAAGCTGTTCAATCTAAATCTGCTTCTCTTCCTTCTCTTCCTGTGATTGGCCCACCGCTGGCACATGATACATGGGGCCAATCACAGCACCCTGTACCATGTGACCAGCTCCAGCCAATCACAGATCACTATCTTGAGCTGTCGAAAACCTAACTCATTCATGACAGTTCATGAATGAGTTAGGTTCATGACAGCAAGCTTTGCATTGCAGGAGAAATGATCTTTATTTCTCCTGCAAAGCAAAGTGTAAGAAAAAAAATCCCTGACCACCCATTCCCCCCACAGTATGGGAACATTGTACTATTCTGATAAAAGTATTTAAAAAAATTTTTTTTTTAAATGTAATAATTAAAAAATACCATATTGCAAATTAAAAACATTTTTTTAAAGGTTTTTTTTTTTTTTTTTTTTAACTACTTGCCAACCGCTTACCTGCATTTTGCGGTGAGCAGCAGCTCTTGGCAAAATGCGGTGGAGAAAATATGTCGCAACTGTGACATTACTAAGATCTGGACGTCCCTCCAAAATTGATGAAAAGATGAAAAGAAATCTGGTCTGAGAGGCTGCCAAGAAGCCTACAGCAACATTAAAGGAGCTGCAGGAATATCTGGCAAGTACTGGCTGTGTGGAACATGTGACAACAATCCCCCATATTCTTCAAATGTTTGGGTTATTGGGTAGAGTGGCAAGACAGAAGCCTTTTCTTACGAAGAAAAACATCCAAGCCTGGATAAATTTTGCAAAAACACATCTGAAGTCTCCCAAAAGCATGTGGGAAGATGTGTTATGGTCTGATGAAACCAAGGTTGAACTTTTTGGCCATAATTTCCAAAAATATGTTTGGCGCAAAAACAACACTGCACATCACCAAAAGAACACCATACCCACAGTGAAGCATGGCGGTGGCAGCATCATGGTTTGGGGCTGTTTTTCTTTAGCTGGAACTGAGGCCCTAGTCAAGGTAGAGGGAATTATGAACAGTTCCAAATACCGGTCAATATTGGCACAAATCCTTCAGGCTTCTGCTAAAAAGCTGAACATGAAGAGGAACTTCACTTTTCAGCATGACAACAACTCAAAGCATACATCCAAATCAACAAAGGAATGGCTTCACCAGAAGATGATTAAAGTTTTGGAATGGCCCATCCAGAGCCCAGACCTGAATCCGATCGAAAAATCTGTGGGGTGGTCTGAAGGGGGATCACCATACTTCTTATCAAATTCCTTGGGGTGCCTACTTTCCAAAAAGGGGTCCTTTGGGGGGTGTTTGTACTATCCTGGCATTTTAGAACCTCCAAAACCGTGATAGGTAGTGCAGAAGTGATAAGAGGAAATATGCACTTTGAAAGCCTGGATGTGGTTATTGGGGGCCTGTATGTAGCTAGGCTGCAAAAAAGTCTCTCACATGTGGTATTCCCATACTCAGGAGAAGTAGAAGAATGTGTTTTGGGGTGTTATTCAACATATACTCATGGCATGCATGAGCAATATAATTATTAAAGTGACAACTTTGTGTAAAAAAAAAAAAAAATTGGCATTTTCAAAACATGTGTGTCAAAAAATTAAATGTTCCATGGATTCAACGTGCCTCTGCAAAATCCTTTGGGTGTCTACTTTCCAAAAAGGTGTAATTTGGGGGAGTTTGTACTGCCCTGGCATTTTAACATCTCAAGAAATGTATTAGGCAGTCAGAAAGTAAAAGCTACGTAAATCCCAACATATATACCAGTTTGTAGACACTATACCTTTCACACAAACCAATTAATATACATGTATTGAGATTTTTTTTTTTTTTTCACCAAAGACATGTGGCAGAATACATTTTGGCCTAAACTTATGACTAATGTTGAGTTTATTGAATATTATTTATAACCAAAAGTGAAAACTGCAGAGGTGATCAAATACCACCAAAAGAAAGCTCTATTTGTGGGAAAAAAAGGACATAAATTGTGTTTGGGCACAGAATTGCAAGACCACGTAATTACCAGTTGAAATAGTGCAGTGCCGAACAGCAAAAAAATGGCCTGGTCATTAAGGGGGTAAATACTCTGGAGAGCAAGTGTTTAAAAAAAATTCAAACAATGCACTAAAGATTTTTTTTAAAGGCAAGGCATCAAAAGAACCATTTTGCCAAATCACAGGCTGATTGAGCCTCACCAATTTTTTTTATTTTTCAAATACATGCTAAAATGACTATTTTTTTAAACACAAAGTAGTGCTTAATGCGGAGTTTCAGCCCCCCGCCCCAAAAAAATTAAAAGTCACCAGCTACAAATACTGTAGCTAATGAATTTTAATATTAGGGCACTTGCCTGTCCAGGGATCCAGCTGTGTCCTCACTGCAAGCCGATTCTTTGGCTGTCAGGTGCTGGCACCACCATCTTGACTAAAGGAAACTGGCATATGAAGGCTTGCGGCTTCACAGCTGGTTTCCTAGTGAGCTGTGCTTTGTGAATAGGCCGCAGTTCTCTGGGACCTGTGAAGTGTCCCAGAGGGCTGTAGGAGGGGGCCAAACTTCCAGCTCAGTTTGCCATGGCGAACTGAGCTGGAAGTGGGAGCAGGTACCTGTCAAAACCAGGCACCCGGCCCCTCCTTCCCAAAAGGTGCCAAATGTGGCAGAAGGGGAGGCAGATAAGAAGAGCTTCCAATTTTGGGTGGATCTCCGCGTTAAAGCTGATGTTTGATCTGCTTATATGTTTCCTAGTTCCTCCCCCCATCATAAACATGCCTACTATTTTTTTTTTTACTTTAAAACTTTCTGATTTAATTAGATACATTATTTTATACCCATGTCATCACCAGGATAACATGATTCTCTATGCAATGTAGGCTTCCTGAAAACATAGCAACCTGTCTCATTACTCCTCTCACGAGCTTTCATTGCGGATACAAGCAGCGGGATGGCCCTTAAGAAGAGATATGCAAATATCAAAATAATTTGATGGGTGGATGTCAGTCTGGAGAGTCAGGCATTCCTATGTAGGCTGCATGCAAACTCATTCAACTCACAACCACATGTGAAGCGGAAACGCCATGATTGAAAAAACTGAGAACCAATGAATGGAAGGGGCAGGCCAGGGATAGTAAAAACTGGAGAGGGAAGTGCTGCATGATGCTGGAGGGGACTGAATATTTCATCGAACAGAGCATCACCGGCATATGGGACACTTCTCATTCAATGTAAGTACCATCCCTTGAGCGGAATAACAAAAAAAACCCCAAAAAAACTAAATTTAAAGTACAACTAAACTTTCTTTTGGACGGAGTGGAAATAGATTAGAACAGATTTAGGTTTTTATTGCTGTCTGTGCCCCCATTAGGGAGATTCACCCTCTCTATGTATCCTGTTTAGCATTATCATTGAAAGAGAAAGTAAAAGAAAACCCCAAATTTTGGGTTGTTCCCAGAAAAGTAATAGAGGGGAAATTTTTCAATGGGGTCAATAGTTCTGGTGATCTAGGGGTCCCAAAGGAATTTCCTTAATTTGCAGGGATTTCCTCTCTCTTCCTTTTTGGCTATTAGACAGGAAGTGAAGGGAAATCTTTACACATGAAGGTAAAAAACCTCCCCCCACCGATCCAGCACTGTGCACAACATCAATCACAGTCAGTGAGGAGGGAGCAAGGGGGGAGTGCGGAACCGATCTGAACTCTGTATCTCATAGATACACAGAGGTGACTCAGGAGCTGCTTGCCCTGGGGGCACTCAGCAGGGGGAGGCAGCCTGGAGCGCCAGCAGGGGACCCAAGAAGAGTAGGATCAGGCTGCTCTATGCAAAACCATTGAACAGAGCAGGCAAGCATGACATGTTTGCAGTTTAAAAAAAAAAAAAAAACAGAACCTTTAAAATTACTTTAAGCTTTAAACATTTATCATCAACTCTTTAAGAGCTTTCTTCAAACATCATGTTCTCTATTTTTTGTTTTTTATTTTACATAAATGAACACAAACATTAAACCTACATCTTGTTTTTGATCATGTAAAACTGCAGTTTAATTGCACTGAAATCTGGCACAGACTCCAGGACCATATCAACCTGTAAATGTTTTATACATAAAGACTGGTCTCGGTCAGCACTTTAATTAATGGAACGGCACAATATCTACTTACTAGCAAAAACCAGTTCAAAGCCACTAAAACCTTGGCAAGGCAACTTCCCCCTCGGAATGACAGGTTTTTATTTTATTTTGTGTAAGGATTTTGGCAATTACTCAAGTTCACGTGGAGGATAAAAGTATTTTGTTCTGTACATTAAATATACCATTACAGTTTAACATAAAGAAATGCAATGTGGCATGTGGTTGTAAAGGAAGACGGTTTGTGATTTTTTTTACTTTAATGCATTCTCTGCAGTAAGGTAAAAAAGCTTCTGTGCACAGGATCCCTCCCAGCGCTGTGCACAAGAGCATCATCTCTCCACTCTCTCTCTACTCATTAGGCATGGAGGCAGCAGTGGCAGCCATTGACTCCTGGTGTCGTCAATCACAGTCTTTGAGGAAAGCCCACACAAGTGCCCCCCACAGCAAGTAGCTTGCTATGGGGGCAAATGGAAGGGGGGAGGAGCTAGCAGCACCTTCAGGGGACCCCAGAACAGGAGGATCGGGGATGCTCTGTGTAAAGCCAGTTCACAGAGAAGGCAAGTTTGACATGAGCTCCAAAAGCCAATTAAAGACAGTGAAAGCTAAGCATGGTAGCAAACCAATCCGTGGGTGAAAAGAACCGTAAAATCTGGGAGGGCCCACAGAGTCTACCAGGAGCCTGACAAGGTCTGAGTAACACATCCTTCTGTGCTAGTTTTTAGTGTGATGAGAATCGTATAGAGTAGGCAAGGAAACACATAGATTGGGTTGAGCAAAGTATTCACTGTGAATGTTAGAGGATCCCTGGTTCTGGCGACAAACCTGCTCAGTCCACATCTATATCCGGTGTACCCCCACCTGCTGCAGAGGTCTTGAAATAAGTAAAAAGACTATCCTGAGGAATCCAGACATTAATGACTGAAGAGGACTGCCTGCCAGTTTTAAATCCCTGGGATGTGTATGGTGGTCAATGCTGTAATGTGAAGTTCTGTCCAAGCCAGAATCAGATTTGCTTCTCTGAGTTGCATGACTTCTGGTTCCTTCCTGATGGCTGGATGTAAGTCACATGGTACTGTCTGACTGATTCCTGGCTGGATGACTTTGCAAAGGAGCGGTCCAGCATTGAAGGAATAACTGAATCACCCAGAGTTCCAGATCAGGAGAGGAGTTTCTTCTGGTAACCAAGACCGTTGCACCAAGAAGGTATCTAGAATTCCTCTACAGCCTGATAGGCTCGCATTTGGTGTGAGCACCTTCCAAACCGATGGGAAGGATATTCATGATACCAGTGTCAAACTTCTCGTCCAATGCCACCAGAATGTTGAGTGTTAATGAGCTAGAGTAAAATGGGCATATGAAACTGCCTCAAATAAGGACACTAACAGGCTCAAAACTCTCATGTAACAGCGGATCGGTTGGTTCCTGGAGTCTTGGGGTAGACAGTATGGAGTTTGTTCAGGAAAAGGAAAACCTTGGACAGGACTATGTCTAAGATCAGGTCTGGATGCTCCAAGCGATGATAACATTCTAGCACGGATTTCTGGAGATTTAGGGTTCACCTGAATCACTGCATAAAGTACAATCCTCCTCATCCTCAGATGACAGTGCAGAAGCAACTGCAACCTCAGTGAATTCAAAAACTTTGGAGAAAAGGGTTTGAAAGCACACTACCATGGCCCTCATGGGTGCAATTTTGTCCAAAAACTCAGAGTAGCTAAAAATTCTTCCTTAGAAAATACTAAGGTAAGGTTTAGCTGTGAAGGGGATAAGGAAGATGTTCTGGATTGTTGCAACTCAGGCAGGAGGCAGTGATCTTGGCTATCAGTGCCCGGTCCCATAGGGGGAAATTACCTGGCACTGTTAGCAGATCACAAGTTGGCCAGGTCCCTAAGACTGCTGCCCGGGCCTCTAGGACAGCTACTCTTGTGCATATGATCTGCCATACTAGCACATGGAGCAGAATGGATTAGCACCATCTGTGACTACATCCCTGGTAAAGCAGCAGGGAGCCCAGGTATTGGACGGATTGTAAAACCAAGGCAGTTCAGAAGAGATGCGGCAAAGGCAATGAGGCCCACATGCATTTAGAGAAAATGGAGCACACATATACAGTATGTCCACAACGAAGGAGACTCAAACAAAAGAGACAAATTTAAAAACTGGCATAGTTCTTGGTGAAAACATGAATCTGATTGTCCTTCACAAAGGAACAAAAGTCTATGGGTATCTTTGATGGAGCACAAGCTGTACTAGCTTTGAGAAAACCCATAACCTCATACAAAAACCAACAAGCATTATGTACCGGATTAACAGAATGCACAGCTGGCAACAAAACAATAACCAAAGCTAAATAGTGTTTACATAGTAATCAGTGATGCTAAAGAACTTTTCCTCCATAAATATAACAGAAACCTTCTGAGCCTGTCTAAAATCATTTCATAGGATTAAATCCTGCTGGAAAGAGGTGTTAAACGTGGTCCCATGCCTATATCAGAGTGGAGATTAAATCATAAGAGGGGGAGGTAATGAGTACTTATAGCCCCAAGTCCCGAGAAGTCTGCCAGTGGTTCCTGACCTCTATACATTGCAGGTGTTAAAGACAAACTTACAAATGATCAGAACTGTCACATAATACTTGCAGGGGAAAAAAGCCACAGTCAGCAAAGCTGCAGATGGATCATTTTATACCGTAAAAAAATGGAGTAATGACCAAAAAAAAAAAAAAAGTTTTCTTAGTACAAAACCATATGTAAAAAGAAACATTATTTTAGGGCCAAACGCAGAAATAGCACAAAATGTTCATCTGGATCTCATCAGTTTCTTTGTGCATCAGTTTTAATGAAGAAGCAGAAAGAGGTTTGAGAATGGCTCTGCCAAAACTTAATGGGCCTACCTCACTAGACACAATGCTGCGTGTGCACAGCTGTGCGCTACGAGGGGCAGGCTAGAGACATGGCTTTCCTCAGCATATACTTACCTCATGTTCAAAGAACCTGTCCTCCAGGGTTTTATCACCAGGATTGTTTCCCGCACCTTCAAACAGCAGTTTATACTCCTAATAGGAAAAAAAAAAGAGAAAAAGAAAGAAAATGACGGGATTATGGGAATGCCATGGGAATTTATTTAGCCAATTGTTCTTAAAAACACAAACAGCAAGGGAGAGAGAGAGACAATATTTGTTGCCTATACATCTAACACTTTGTAGGTCATTACTTTGTATGCTAAGGGTGATCAGGGGCAGGTCTGCTCTGTTGCTTTTGCTACTTTAGAGCAGAGGGATGAGTGACTATATCTCCCCAGTTATAATAAATCTGTCTCACCGCTCCTGTTCAGCATTGCCTGGCTGTAGGATAGAACTAATATGTCCTCCAGGGCTAGCATATTCCAGTGCAATAAACAGCAGACATATCAGTACTGAAGCACACAACTCAACTGCCAGCTCCTTTATTCATCTGCAATTGTTGCAGCTGGGAGTGTCCATTGTTGGACCCAATTGCCCAATGTGCAACGGCTACTGTTGTGCTCACAGACAGAAGCATTTGTGCATCTGACAACTTTCGGGGGATGCTTAAAGTTGAACTCCTGGCAAATAGTTAAATTTACAGAAAATGCACAGATGAAATGGATATAAGCGAGCGGTTTTTCCTGCAAAGGGGTTTGTATTTCTGTCCTTCCAGTCCTTCCTGAGATTTGGACCTGATCTTTCTCTGGTGCAGTTTTACGTTCTCTTACAGGTCTCTTCCTCACCTCAACCCTGTGACTGGACAATGAAAGGAGAAGCAGGACACTGATGAGCTCTCTATCACTCTGCTCTCTTCCTCCTATCAGTGTGCTATGTACACTAGAGCCAATTGATCATCTCTTTGCACTGCCTCTTCATAATTGGTTGGCTCTTCCTTGGCTCTGCTGTAAAACCACAGCCTGCAAAAGGCTGATGCCAAGTCAATTCAGACACACTGTTTCCATTAAAGTGGTTCTAAAGACTGAAGGTTTTCTTTTTACCTTTGTTCATTCTATGCATTAAGGTATAAAACCTTTTGGGTGACGTTACACCCCCTCAGCCCTCCCTAATACTTAGCTATGCCCAATCTCGATCCAACTCTGTGCACAAGAGCCTTGGCTCTCCCAGGTCTCTCCATCCTCATTGACTAAGATACAGCAGTGGGAGCCATTGACTGAGCCACGCTCTGTGTAATGCATAGACACACACAGCCGGCTCAGAAGCGAGAATGCACGAGAGCCCCCAGAGCAAACAGCTTGCTCTGGGGGCACACAGCAAGGGGGAGGAGCCAGAAGCGCCTGTGGGAAAACCGAGAAGAGGCGGATCAGGGCTGCTCTGTGCAAAACCATTGCACAGAGCAAGTAATTATGATGTGTTTATCATTTTAATAAAAAAAAAAAACCTGAGCCTTCAGAACCATTTAAAAAATAAATTTACTTATGTATTAATAATAACAGAACTTCAATAATTTGTGTTTTTATATCTGTTTAGAGTTCACCTTTAAGGATGAAAAACAATTCTGAACCTTTTCCAAACTGTTTTTCCCAAAACAAACTGCAGGTACTAAGTAGTTTTTGCTACTGAACACTGTTAATTATTGGAGTTCTCCTTTACGCTTATCTAGACCTGTGTTTCTCAACCAGAGTGCCATGGCACCAAGCATGAGACCCAGTTTGCCTTGGATCACTTTGTCATGGGTAGCCGTGGTGTACGTGGGCCGACAGCACCATGAAAACCAATGATGCTCTAGGGGCAGGACAAATGACATAATTCCCTGCTATGCTGCTGGAGACCTGCCCCCCTGCACAATGGCAATGCATGGCTCTGATCTAGGGGAGGCAGCATGAGAGCAGAAGATGGAAGTCTGCCATTTCTACAGTTCCTCCACTTCCTGCCTGCTTCCATGCTGCTGGAGCTAGACGTCAGGACTCTGACATGAAGAGGTGACTGTGTGACTGGAGAGGACTTTGTGATGTGGATTTGTGTGATTGGGAGGTCTCTGTGATAAGGGGGCCCCTGCGACTTGAGGGCTCTGATGCGATGGGGGGGATCATGTATAGAGGGCCTTGGATGTATTAAGGGGACTATGATGAGGGCCTCATGTGTAGGGGGCTGATGTATAGGAGTGACTGCAGATGTGATGTGGTGACTGCAGATGTGACGAGGAAGCCTCTAATGTGAAGTTAATTTAATCAAAGGGGTTGTATGCATTGATCAGTAATAATTATGTTTTTTGTATTTTAGACTTGCCTCTACATTTTGCATACTTTTAATGGGTGCCGCTACTGAAAAAAAGGTTGAGAAATGCTAATTTAGACAAACAAAAGCCACTATCTGATACCCACAAGTTACCCACAAGATAGCCCACAAGTTACTGTACATCATTGTTCAGCTATAAAATAAAACCCTCAGCAAATCATCAGATTGAAAGAAGAGCAAAAAAAGACCACAGGGTAATTTACTTACTGGGTAATAGTCAGCTACTGCTTTGACCTGCTCATAGTCATCAGCTCTCGCCAACTGGGCCAGGCCTTCTGGGTACAATTTCCCACAGTGAGGGAACAGCTTGGCGCGGTCTTCTTTGGAAAGTTCAGTGCCAAATGAATTAATTGTGATTATAAACGCCCGACGGTCGGCTTCAAACTAGAAATAATATAAGTTAAGGCTGTTTGAGAAAGGCAAGGCACTGTGTCTGCAACAACTCATTTGACATTTACAGCACTGAAATATGTGACATTTGCTTTCTAATAAAGTAATAGATGAGAACTGTAAACATAATTCATTCAGGCTATTAACAGATCATTCGCTAATAAAAACATTTGGTATCGTCGCTTATATTAAAGCAGATCATGCAGTAAAATGTAGGTCTTCTTAGTAGATCAATGGAAAAAAATCCTCCTGCGCTTATAATGAGTTGTATAAAACCTACTAATAGCTGCTGCCACCTAACTTATACCATAAAGTATGTGCTCAAATTATTAAAAATAGTGAAGCGCTATATCAATAATATACTCCTAATGCATATTAAATAAATATAAACAACATATTGGTGTTCAGTGTGAAATATAAATTGATAATATATAGTGAACCAATCTCTAAAATAAAGTGAACACTCAAATGTGATGGTGATTATACTCAATATTATTAATAATAATCCATAAAAACATTATGGAAGATCACGTGGGCACCATCACGTTTTTTGCATGGACTTTATAGCTTGATATTTCACTAATTAATTTTGTTTATTTATATTTTATGGATTACAATTAATATTATTGAGTATAATCACCATTCACTAATGATTTTTGTTTTTATGGATTATTATTAATAATATTGAGTATAATCACCATCACATTTGAGTGTTCACTTTATTTTAGAGATTGGTTCACTATATATTATCAATTTATATTTCACACTGAACACCAATATGTTGTTTATATTTATTTAATATGCATTAGGAGCATATTATTGATATAGCGCTTCACTATTCTTAGTAGATAAGCCCCCCTCCCACTTTATAAAAAACTGATGCCTAATAGTACTTGAAAAAGGTGCCTGCAGAGAAAAGAAAAAAAAAAATAATAAAAGCTTATACACTTAGCCCCATCTTCTGCTTGGACCCTCTTTCAACTAGGTATTGATGAGTACCCCAAATCTCACAAAAAAGACACTCTACCCCAGTACAAGAGCATCTTCTCACAAGGTTCAGGCTGATCTGCATTTCCTGGGATCTCAGCAAAAATAGCAAAATGATAACCTCTCTTAGGTGCAGCATACGGAAGATGGGGGAGGTAAGTATCTTATCCTTTTTTTCTTTACAGGTATATTTTCTAACTACTACTAGGCAGGAAATTTGGAGAGAAGGGGTCTAAGACCTTATAACTGGATTTTGCATTTTACTGCAAGGTGCTCATTAATATATGTTGACAAAAGCTGTTAATTGTCACAATATACTCCAAAGTTTTCACAAAGTACCCAAAAAGTATGTTAATGTGCCTGCATACACCTGTGTGTCATGCTAAAAAACACTTATGTAATTCATAAGGACCCTTGTAAACACTGGTTTGTCAGAGCTCTCACCAGCTTGGTTGATGCTGCATCCTAGGTACAGTGGATATAAAAAGACACACCTCTGTTAAATTTTCAGGTTTCTGTGATGTAAAAAATGAGACAAAGATGAATCATTTCAGAACATTTTCCACCTGTAACCAATGGAACCTATAAACTGTACAACTCAGTTGAACAACTAACTGAAATCTTTTGGGTGGAGGGAAGTAAAAATAAAAAACTAAAATAATAGTTGCATAAGTGTGCACACCCTTAAACTAATACTTTGTTGAAGCTCCTTTTGATTTGATTCCAGCACTCAGACTTTTTGGGTATGAGTCTATCAGCATGGCACATCTTGACTTGGCAATATTTGCCCACTCTTCCTTGCAAAAACACTCCAAATCTGTCATATTGCAAGGGCATCTCCTGTGCACAGCCCACTTCAGATCATCCCACAGATTTTCGACGGGATTCAGGTCTGGGCCTGGCTGGACCATTCCAAAACTTTAATCTTCTTCTAGTGAAGCCATTACTTGTTGATTTGGATGTACGCTTTGGGTCGTTGTCATGCTGAAAGATGAAGTTCCCCTTCATGTTCAGCTTTCTAGCAGAAGCCTGAATATTGCCTGGTATTTGGAACGGTTCATAATTCCCTCTACCTTGACTAAGGCCCCAGTTCCAGCTGAAGAAAAAACAGCCCCAAAGCATGATGCTGCCACCACTAAGCTTCACTATTGGTATGGTGTTCTTTTGGTTATGTGCAGTGTTCCTTTTGCGCCAAACATATCTTTTGGAATTATGGCCAAAAAGTTCAGCCTTGGTTCCATCAGACCATAAAACATTTTCCCACATGCTTTTGGGAGACTTTAGATGTGTTTTTGCAAAATTTAGCCAGGCTTGGATATTTTTCTTCATAAGAAAAGGCTTCCATCTTGCCACTCTACCCAATAGACCAGACATATGAAGAATACGGGAGATTGTTGTCACATGTACCACACAGCCAGTACTTGCCAGATATTCCTGCAGCTCCTTTAATGTTGCTGTAGGCCTCTTGGCAGCCTCCCAGACCAGTTTTCTTCTCGTCTTTTTATCAATTTTGGAGGGACGTCTAGTTCTTGGTAATGTCACTGTTGCACCATATTTTCTCCACTTGATGATGACTGTCTTCACTGTGTTCCATGGTATATCTAATGCCTTGGAAATTCTTTTTTACCCTTCTCCTGGCTGATACCTTTTAACAATGAGATCCCTCTGATGCTTTGGTAGCTCATGGCTTTTGCTGTAGGATGCGACTAAGAAAATGTCAGGAAAGACCTACTAGAGCAGCTGAACTTTATTTGGGGTTAATCTGAGGCACTTTAAATGATGTCAAGTGTGTACCGACTCCTATTTAACATGATTTTGAACGTGATTTCTTCATTCTGAATACAGCTACATCCTCAGTTATAAGAGGGTGTGCACACTTATGCAACCATATTTGTATTTTGTTTTTTTATGTTTACTTCCTCCTCCTAAAAGATTTAAGTTTGTTTTTCAATTGAGTTGTACAGTTTATAGGTCACATTAAAGGTGGAAAAAGATCTGAAATGTCTCATTTTTTACATCACAGAAACCTGACATTTTAACGGGGTGTGTAGACTTTTTATATCCACTGTAATTATACATTTTTTTTCATATCCTGAACTTCTCTTTTAAAGCACACATGTACTTTTTGCTTATGGAGCAACAATAAGCCAATCATCACCCACAGTCACACTGATGAAGCACTGGTTTGCTTTAAAGGTGGTTTCACAACAATGAATTTCAATATGGTGGAAAAAAAACGTTGCACAGGATGCATTGGGTGCCCTGAACTCCATTTTACCATTCAAATTAATGGAAATGTTTAGTTTTGGCAAAACACTCAAAATGCACACCAAGCTGTCCGAGAGATATTTTGAAGGGAACATTTAGAAATGTTAACTGAGCCTAAGCAGTACCCTAAAACATGTACGTTATGTCTTAAGTTCCTCTTAAACAATAGCAGTGCACTTTCAGGTATGTAAGTGTGCCAAGTCCTCCTATGCCCACAGCCTCATAGCTGTATAGCTGCAATGTGAGATCTAAGGCACTGTGCCTCTGTCTGCTAGTCCCAAGATATTTGGAATGAGACTGTTGATGCTGGAGGATCTGACTCAAGACACAAAACACTGTGCCTCTACCAAGATGGCTGCCTCTACACAGAGGCACAGTGCTGAGTTTCAAGGGAGCCTGGTGACAAGTCCTATCTCTGCCTTTTTTTTCTTTTGGGGCACCGCTTTCAGAGTTCAATTCCTCTTTAAATGTTCACCCAGTCACAAAGTTTACCAATACAGAATATTCATGTACCTCTAAGATAGGACACATAGCATCTGCAGTAGTTCCTCCTAGTCCTTTGCAGAATTTGTAGAAGGATTCTAAATAAGCCTAAAAATCACATAAAAGTTGACATTAGAGACATATTTTTATAGACTGAACAAATAACATACACAGATATAACAGTGTAATTACCATGAATATGTGTATAATGCATAGCTGCATCTTGTCTTGCCTGTGAGCACTTTGCATATGTTGATATTCCTCTGAAGACGTGAGGTTTCACAAAAGGACTAAGGAATCAACACGCTGTGACGTTTAGCCGCCGGAGCCATATGCTGGTCCGGCGGCCATCTTAACTACTGGCCAGTGTACCTATTTTATTGTGAAACTATCTTATTAAATAAATCTATGACTTTTGGCAATATTACGCTATGAGCGCTTTTCTTATGACTTCTTTACGGAGCCTTTAAGTATGCAGAACCTGGGAAGTTCTTCAATATCCAGAGAAGGGGAAATCCTGTAATCAGGTGGCTGACCCTGCTAATCCTTAAGGAGACCTCTGGAACAGACATCACTCATTTACGGCACAGCTGCCCAATTGGAGACGGATGTCCCAGATACATACCTCACTACTCGGATGCTCCTGTTTTTGGATATATCAATGCGCATAATCTATGCGCTTCTGGTAAGCGCATAATTTTATCATTTGCATGGAGCACCAATAAGAAGGATACGCTTACTGGCACTATTCTTAGCACCGACTGTATATTGAATTATATTGGGTTTTTATGTTCATTTATTTAGCGCTGCACTTCATTACTATTCACTATATACTGGAGGTTTTTACGTGGTTACCTGAGTGTATCAGCTGCTATAACGGAGAGCGCTCACTATTGCTACATTTTACATGTTTGGCCAACAGACTGTATACTGTGGGTAAACAGCACGTTTAACTGTAGGAAGATAGATATTAGGCACAAATGAATTCCAACACTGTGGAACGGGTGACGGTTTTAAAACACAACTGAATTTAGTTTAAGGGTTTCTTTACACCAAATGTAGTTGAGTGCATTTTGAGCACATTACAATTGCATATACAAGAGGGATGCATTTCATTGAGGCTAGTTAACACCACTGTGCTTCTTTTCATGTGCTTTGCACGCTGCATTTATTCCAGCAAAAATGTATAGAAATGCACATGGACACACTGCAAACACATGTAAAAGCAACTAAGTAATAACAAAAATCTTTAATGTTTAAAAAAAAATACCACACCGCCAAATGCATTACAAATGCAAGCAAACATGCGTGTGAACGGAACAATGAACGTAGGGATTGCAGTGTAAATGAGCCCTAAATCAGATAAATGCCAAAACAAAAGATGTGCACAATTTTACAGTTACATTTCTTTAGAAAGTAGCCACAGCAAAGTAGAAAAGCCTGTCCACTATCAGCATGTTGCAGATATAACTATCGCTCTCTGTGTGTTAACAGTGTTCTCTTTGCAGAGGTCTGATCTACAACTCTTCGATCAGCAGGAAGCATGAGCTTTACTGATAGCAGATCTATTGACTTACCACAGAGAGCAAGGGTTCTTTTCTATATAGTGTGACAAGCTCTTCTACTCTGGCTGTGCCTGCTTTGCAAAGAAAATGGCCTGTTAAGAGTTAGCACACCTTTTGTTTTGCTGCACTTGAAATACATTTAGCAGATTTCAGTTGAAAGTTCAGTTGGGTTTTAAAGTGGAACTTCAGGTTCCAAATTGAAAATGAGCGGACAGGCAGGATTTTGTAGAGCAGAAGAGACATGTCTCTTCTGCATTAAAGCTACTTACCTGCCTGTCTGCCATGTACAAGCACAGTTCACCGCACAAACGTGGCAATGCCAAATATGACAAAACACCCGCAAATGCGTGGGGGTGACATCTCAGCTGGGCCATTGACAGCAGCCTGAAATTGAGACCAGGAAGCTGGCAGCCGGAACAAGTCAGCATCCGGCGGTGAATTCCGGGGACAGCGCATTGCTAGATTCAAGGCAAGTATAGTTCCATGGTACGTTAAGAAAAGGAATTCACTGTACTTCCTGTACTGTAACTACAACCGATTTGCAATGACCAAGGAGGATTGAGAAGATGCAGCAGTGCACATAAAAGGAAACTTTCTTGCAATAACAAACTTTACTTGTGACCTACATGACTGATTAATCACAGTGATTACACGTCACTTTAAGACCTATTACGAGCTGAAGTGTGGTATCGAAACGGAACGCGCTCCAAGATTGTTTAATAGGTTTGAAAGTAACAAAAGCAAAGTGGGTACCATGATGGGTTACCAAGGTGGTGATCAGATGATGGCTTGAAATCACACAAAGCAGTTCCAGGTCTCTGTGCCATTAGGATCCTGGTCCTGAAGCTGACTGCGCTTACGGAGTACTCAAAAGTAAACTAAATAGCACCCTCCTGGCACACACAACATATTGGGAGGATTTACATTTCTATAGGGAATTTGAGAAGGGAAGCAAAAAAAAAAAAAAAATCCTTAAAAATTACACATTTTCATGCAGTTAATTGATGCCAAGTTCAGTTGAATAAAGAAAAAAAAATCAGCATAAGGGATGGTACATTTAAACACTTGCCGTCCAGCCACTGTACATAAAACGGCCGGACTGTGGCAGTCCAGGGGCAGGTTGCCGTTCATAAACGGCGCCCGCCATTTTGGACTGTGCGCGCTCCATCGGACACAGTGGAACACCGATCGTCGTACGGGACCTCTGTGCGAGGTCCCGATCATTGGATCACTGATTGGCCAATCAGTGATCACATGCAGAGTAGTAAGCAAGATGTCACTTCTCATATCATTGCTTACATGTGAAATCTGTGAATGATCACAGAGGTCACATGGTACAAGGCTATTCACAACAGCCTTGTACCATGTGACAAGCTGTGACCAATCACAGCTCACACAGTAGTACTCAATGGCTGCAAGAATGCAGCCAGAGAGAAGGAGAAATTAATGCTTTTACAGCCTTTATGGGTGTAAATGCAATCAGTGTAAAAAAAATAAATAAATAAATCATCACCCCCCACAAGTAGTAGTGTCACCATGGTGACACTGTACTGCTAGGGTGACAGTATGTAGGGGGAAAAAAACATATATAATAATATAAAAAAATTAAATAAAAATTTAACAAATTTTTTTAAAAAAATTAAAATATTTGGTTATAAACTAATTTGGGTTTTTTCTTTTTTACTAAAAAGACAACTGAATAAATTTTGTGCAAGATTTAGGATGAAATATTATTTATTTGCAAACTTTTATAAGAAAAACACTTTTTTAAAACTTTTTGGACTTTTTCATTTATATAGCAAAATACCACCAAAATAAAGCTTTATCTGTCTCAAACAAATGCTACAAAATTCATATGGGTATAGCTTTGCATGACCGCGCAATTGTCATTCAAAGTGTGATAGCGCTGAAAGCTGAAAATTGGCTTGGACAGGAAGAGGGTAAATGTGTCCGGACTTGAAGTGGTTAATACGTGTCCCTTGTGCTACTGCCAGCTGTCCTAATTGAACTCCCCCCAGCCCCCCACACACATACCCTTGCAGTGGTAATCTTCCGGGGCTTTGAGGGTTAATACAGGCGCTGGACCTGTCAGACACTCATCAACAGTGCTAACTCTGCCAGCCCATTCTGCCCCCTTCTCCTTTCACAGAAGCTGTACTATAGCTTCCACCAAGGAAAAGTGCTCTATGAATGGAGGACAGGTAGATTAATGAAAGGTATGCCTCTTTCATTTATAAAGCGCACTGCACATACTGAGCTATGCCTGGATAGTGCCTCCATTTCCCTCCAGTACATGAAAGTCAGCTAACAAAATAGGTACCTGTACACAAGACCTTCTGAAGGCCTGCCTCCTTCTCTCCTCCCATTTAGCATCCAGATATGAAATTTCATTGGGTGCGTAGAAATTGCAAAAAACTAATATAAAATTGAATTTGTAGGTCATTTAATGTTTCACACTTTTATGTCAATAAGCAAGAAGAGTTTTTTCCCATGTACTTTTAAGTTCTTCTATCATCACGTAATTCTTGAAATATTGAGAAAGCAGTTATGGACAGACTACTGTCTAAATATTAGCTCTTTATCTGATGATTGCTATGCTTCTACTCTTAAACTGTGATGATACCTGGGATAATCAAGCAAGATTATCCTTTAATCCACGTTCTTTCATTATAATTAAGTGGCTGTTGTTCTTTCTGTAGCAGAGGCCAACTCTTCACTTACCTTGTACAATGTGTTCCTTATAATTTCAATGTTCATTTCATCAAGATCTTGTTCTGAAATGCAGTCTTGGAAGAATGCAGCTAAAAAAAACACATAAGCCAATTAAAGATTTAGAATAATGGGCTTAAAAAGGCAAAAATAGTAATTGACTGAAACCAACCAGAATTCTTCCTTAACTGAGCTCTAGCCTGCTGCTAGCATCATTTTATCCATGGTCACTATACCTTCGGGAAATACTATAACAACCATTTTCCTATTACCATACGCAGAGGAGACTCTTCCTTGACCTCCACAAAGTTTGTTATGCTAGTTTCAGGGCTGCTGATTCCACTTTTCTAAGGGCTCCTGTTCAAGGACATCAAGTCCATAAGCCCTTTTATTATTTATTTCAGGTACTTCTATAGCGCCGGCAATTTACACAGCGCTTTACATATATATTGTACATTCACATCAGTCCCTAACCCTCAAGGGGTGTACAATCTAAGGTCCCTAACTTACATTCATACATACTAGGGACAATTTAGACAGGAGCCAATTAACCTACCAGCATGTCTTTGGAGTGTGGGAGGAAACCGGAGTACCCAGAGGAAACCCACGCAAGCACAGGGAGAACATGCAAACTCCAGGCAGGTGGTGCCATGGTTGGGATTCGAACCAGCGACCCTATTACTGCCAGGCAGAAATGCTAACCATTTAGCCACTGTGCTGCCTGTATGTAGAAGGGATTATTGCTATCTTATACTGTTCAGTGCCATTCTCCCACCATTTGCATTAGGGAGCCGTGGAGAATTAAAAAATACTCAACCTTTATTATTTTCTTCATATCCACTAACTCGTGAGTCATCAGCGCTGATGGAACTCAAAAAACACTGTGCGGACTCAATCCCTAATCTTCATCTCTCATTTACCCCATTGTGTTACCGATAACCTCTACTAGTTCCAGGTAGTAATATACTTATTTGTTCCATCTGTGTCCATACCAACATTAAATCACCAATGATAACAAGATCTATGGTTTCCCAGGCTTGTTGCTTAGAAGGCAATTTCAGGTTCTGCCTTCTTATTCCTACTCACTGCCATGCTCGTGTCACTGCCTATTGCCCTCAACTTAGAAAACCTATTATATTTGACGGTTTCTTAGAGGTAATTTTGCTGCAAAAAAAATATAAACCCCAATCATAGCAGCAATTCTGATGTTCTGTTCAAGTGGCCTTTATAGAACGTTCCTGCAATTCTGACAGTAGACTTTTCCACAATATAGCTTCTAGCTTTACACTGCTATAATCAAAAATGTAACAAAATATCTGAGTTTAAAACATCCAAGAACAGCAAAATAGAATAGGATAAAAAAAAAAAAAAAAAAAGTCATAATGGTGAGAAAATCCTGCTTGACAAAGGGAAAGTACTTTGAAAATATACTGCTTGACTCACCTGTTAATTTGGGTGGTGCTCCTCTATCTCCATAACCTGAACCTTGTTATGAGTTTTCATTTAATGCATTTGAGCAGAATATACGCTTTAAAAATAAAAGTTTGTTTTCATATTTCTAAGGTGACTGTCCCAAGGGCACCTCAAGATGTATGTCACACACATTGTAAATATATCATTTTCTCATGCCATGTGCCACAAAGGACAGCAACTGGCATAGACGCAAGGAAACATCATATGGAATGTGACCTAATAGGAAGAGCTGCATCTGGAAAAACTGATCAATGCAATTCTGTAAGCTTTAAATTAATTTTCAACTATGCTGAAAGTGGCACCAAAATGATATCCTTATACCGCCAAAATAATCCATGCACATCCACTACTTAACGGATCTGAAATCTATTTTTCTTTGAATAGTTTCTTTAATAAATGCATTTAGTGTCCCTTTAATACCCTTTCAAAAATGTCTTCCAAATGCATCTCAAATTCTCAACAGCCCTTACATGTGGTACCACTATTGTGGTCACAAGTGACAGAACTTCTGCCAGTAACACAACTTCCTGTTTTAGGCTGAAAAAGTGAAGCTCCAATCTCACAATTAGCAGCAGTGTTGTCAGCCTGCCATGTTTATTCTAAAGTTGGCCGTTAGACTGCCTTTTAGGGTCTATCAGATAGACAGCCCCACAGCGTCTATCAGATAGACAGCCCCACAGCATTATTGAAGAAGCTTGCACGGCAGGCGGACAATTTGCTGCCATTTGCAAGGAAAAGGCTTAGCAAGCTTATCAGCCTGCAACAAGAAGTTCTGATACTGGCAGGAGCTACAGGTAAAAAAAAAGTTTGGAACAGATTAACAAAAACAAATTTGTTAATGTAAACAGGGAGGCATAATGACAAAAATACTGAAAAATAGATTAAGACCCCATTCACACCTGAGCCTAGTGGTTTTATGCAGTTTTCAACGTTTGTGCGCGACTTCCTCAGGTATTTTGAGTTCTGCCATTTATGTATTAGCCAATAGAGAAAATGTTCATCTGTGACATCAATTGTTGCCATGCCAGAAAAACACTCTTGGTCGCATGACAAAATGTGCAATTTGCACATTTCCTTGTAGTTCTTTGGGAATTAAACCGTGCTAAAAATGCATCAATCTGCCCAAACGGAGCTACAAAAGTAGCTCCAAAACTTTTTTGAGCTTCAGGTGACTTGGAGTGGAGATGTGAGAATAATATTTGTGTGCAAGCAAGACAATGATCACAAACACAAAGCCAAGGAAACTCCCAATTGGTTTCGAAGAAAGAAAATGAAGCTGCTAGAATGGCTCAGCCAATCACCTGACTTGAATTCAACAGAAAATCTATGGAAAGAACTAAAGATCAGAGTTCATAAAAGAGGCCCAAGGAACCGTCAAAATTTGAAGACTGTGTGGAAGAATGGACCAAAATCACACCTGAGCAATGCATGCAACTAGTTTCTCCATACTAGAGGCATCTTGAAGCTGTCATTAACAACAAAGGATTTTGAACCAAGTATTAAATAAATTTCAGCTAGCGTGTTCAATACTTTTTCCCTGTGTCGTTCCATTTTATGACACATAACTTTGTTTCTGAACTTATTTGTTTTGGTTTCTTTGTATGGATTGCATGGGTTGTTACCATCATGGTGAAAATTTCATGCCAATAGCACCTTTAGAAATATATTTACCAAGAAAAATGGCAACGTGTTCAATACTTATTTTACTCGCTGTATGTACAGTTTTATTAACATACATCCAAGTTGCAAAACTGTGTTCAGGTGTTAAGGTTAGTTTTAACTACATCATGAAGAGGTTAAAACATATCTTTGTTGATGCTTACTTATTAGAATGATTCCCATTGAATTTAATTCTGGCTTTCAATGGAATTAATTTTTTTTCCCCCTTAAGAAAATGGAATGGTTACCCTTCCACAACTCAAACATTCCAACACAAGCATAGTACATTATATTTATAGTATAGGCCCATGTTTACCTAGTGGAGTGTCCACAAGAATGGCATTGTATAATTCTGCAGGTGTTTGTGCGATGTTTACAGCTTCCATCTGCTCAAAACTTCCCAAGGGATGGCATTTGGGCACAAGTTCGGAAATGGAGCGCTGGTGCAGGGTGCCAGTAATCAACAGGATCACATTGTCGATCATGTAGCTGTACCTGTATGTGAATGAAAAAACACACATATGAATGTTTAACTCTAACGCACAATGTGGTTAAAAAGTATGATGAACCATCAGCTGATGTCCCATATCTTGGCTGTGACACCATGGCAAGGTGTCTTCTCATCTACCTACAATTTACTTATATGTGAAGGTGTAGGGCCCCATTCACACCCGTGTGATTTAAAATCTCTCCAGAAGCTTCAAGGTATGACACTAGAATTTCCAATTAATTCAATGGTAGGGGTGTGACGTATCTCAAGCAGAAGCAGTACCTAGTACTAAGTCAAAGAGGTCAAGGATTGAAATACATGGACAGCGTACCTGGGGTCAAAAGCACCCAGCCACAGCAAAACTATCAGGAGGGTTTAATATGGATTCATGGGTACCCTTCGGTGTCTGCTTTTCAGAAGCGATAAACTAAGGGCTCATGTACACTGCAGCTGATAAAATCATGTTTAGGAGCTTTTCTGCATTTTTTTCAGCAGCCCCTAAACTCTCCCTAATGTATTCCTATGTGTCCATGTACACTGCAGCTGATAAACTCATGTTTAGGTGCTTCTCTGTGTTTTTTTCAGCAGCTCCTGAACTCTCCCTAATGTATTCCTATGTGTCCATGTACACATAGTTGCTTACAGGCAGGCGAGTTTACAGTCGTTTTTTTTGAACACACCAAACGTGCGTTCAGGAGTAGATTTTATCAGCGTTTCAACCGCTAACCGTGTTTATAAGCGTTTGCGCTTAGAAGCGTTTTTTAACTGTTCCATACCCAAATGCTGTTCAGAGCCTTTATTCATAATCAGAAATGCATGCAAAGCGTTTTCCATGTATTCAAATGAGCCTAGCACACCAGCGCAGTCAGTTCCAGGTTTTGTGTGAAGGAAAACATAGTAGAACGTGCTGCATTATGCTCATGATGGGATCCATAGTGAATACAACCAGAAAAGATAGGTCATCTCAACACATACTGCTCTCTCTGCTTCTGCTCTCTCTATTTCTCTCAAAATGTCTGAAATAGTAAAATTTTTACTGTTTTTCAGTGCATTCTGGGCATTTTGGAAGGTGTCCTGATGTTATCTTTAAAAACCGCTTCTGCGCATAAACGTTTTTTTTTAACCTACGTTTTCCAGCAGTCAGTTTCCATTGTTCAGAAGTGTTTTCCAAACGTCCCGCGTACATGAGCCCTAAGGCGCGTTCAGACACAAGTCCAAACCTGCCTGAGCTATCAAATCAGGAAGCTCTAACTGTGGACAGCCAATAAACAGTCGAGGCATTCCCCTCCCAGAAGTCGCACATATCCAAGGGGCACAGACTTGCGGCTGAACATGCCTGAGTGTGTCCCTACTCATCAGGTATATTATAATATATATATATATATATATATATATATATATATATATATATCTGTCTATAATTAATGTGATTGATGGGGGTTTTTTTTTTACCATTTTTAAATGGGTAAAACATAACCAAAAAACGCCCAGCAAAAATAATGGTAATTACAACAGAAAACAATCAAAAAGCAACCGCAGGCATCCATGTACAGTATGTAGCAATCAGTGGCGTAAAAAAATATTTTATATGCAAGCAGTCCCCAGGTTACGAACACAATAGGGTCTGTAAGTTTGTTCTCAAGTTGAATTTGACTGTAAGTTCGTACAGGTACATATTTTTAAGTGTAGCTCCAGCAAAAAAAAATTTTTTACGTTTTTTGAATAGCATAGGGAAGGACTAACACCCCTGTAATGTTCGTGCCCCTGTCCATCACATTTCACTTTACCTCCTGTCCCTGTGACAATTGGATTTTGAAAATTTTGGGCTGTCTTGGAAACAAGGATTGGTGATAAACCTTCAGTGGACACACCTTTTTCCCATGATAACTCTTACAGAAGTGAATTTCCCTTCCTAGGGGTAGATTTCCTCTCACTTCTTGTTTTCTCCCTCGTAAGATGGAGTCGTTCGTAACTTCGATGTTCGTAACTGTCTAGGGGACTGCCTGTAGCACCAACATTTTCCATAAGGGCTAGTTTACCATAAGCCCTCAGAAGTGTGATCCACAATAGAATAGAAAAAAGTCAGCGCTCAGTGATAATAATTAGCTGCTAGCAAAAAGTGCATTCAAACAAAAAACAAAACTAGAAAATTATAATAGTTGGCAGCGCTTACAGAAAATATATATACATAAAAACATAGATGAACATAAACAACAACATCCGTGACAATTAACAGCTTCCCGTCTGTCCTATAGCAGAAATACTGCTACAGGGTGGCATGGGTGCGCAAAATCACACACACACACATATATGTAGTTTTGTATCTCTGGGGAAGGGAGCGCGTGCGTGTAAAAAACAATACAGTTCGCCTAGGCCAGTGGTCGGCAAGCCGCGGCTCGCAAGCCACATGCGGCTCTTTACACGCTTTAATGCGGCTCTTGTGTGCCGGGCGCCCGCTCCCCTCCCTCCTCTCGGGCAGCAGGGACTCTGCAGCGTGATCCAAAAAAAAAAAAAACAGCCAGGGCAGCGCGCTCAAATGCAATGATTGGCCAGTCTCGCTGCCACTCACATCCTGATAGCCAGTGATTGGCTGTCAGGATGTGTGTAGGCGGGGCAGCGTGACGAACGTGAGAGGAGCTAGGCTCTTCTCACAGTCCACCCTGAAGACCGGAACGGTGCGGGAACACAGCGAGCGGATCGCGCAGAGCAAAGGTAAGTGAATTGACACAGGGGGGACTTGGCTTACTACTTACTTACTACTACTATATGAGGGATGAATTAATATGGGGGATGAATTACTATATGGGGGATGAATTACTATATGGGGGATGAATTACTATAGGGGGATGAATTACTATAGGGGGGATGAATTACTATATGGGGGATGAATTACTATATGGGGGATGAATTACTATATGGGGGATGAATTACTATATGGGGGATGAATTACTATATGGGGGATGAATTACTATATGGGGGGATGAATTACTACTATATGGGGGATGAATTACTATATGGGGGATGAATTACTATATGGGGGATGAATTACTATATGGGGGATGAATTACTATAAAAACTTATTGAAACTAAAAACAGTGTACCATCCTATGTATTTTCAGTTTTAAAAATGTGGCTCTCAAAATAAATTTCAATCGTGGTTTTGGCGAGATTTGGCTCAGTTGAAAAAAAAGGTTGCCCACCACTGGCCTAGGCGATCGGACCGGGAGTGGGTACCTGTCAAATTCGGGTACCCACTCCCCCCCGACCCCCAAAGGTGCCAATCCTTAATGGGGAGCGGGGAACCAGTCCTTAAAGAGGAACTTCCCCTTTTGGGTGGAGCTCTGCTTTAAAACAGTGGCTCCGGATAATAGATATGGCTACTTACATTGAGCCAAGCTGGATCAAATATGCAAAAAATAACATTCCTGGAGTTCAGCTTTACAACTTCACAATCACACAGCTATACACATACATTGGGACCATTCTAGCCAGAGTAGATGGAACCAGAAGATTCTGAATAGTTGAAAATGGGCATCCCTAGAAGGAGCACATACAAACTCCATGTAGAGAAAGAGCTTTGTTGTGAATAGAACAATGCAAACTCTCAGTCTGATCCCACTAACACAACAAATACACTGGGATATGTGGAAAGCAGAAGCTATACTCCCAAAGTTGAAGAAGTCCAGAAATGAAAAGAAAACAAAAAGATTATAAAACAAGACAGAACACAACCTATTTCTGCAAAAGGGAGGGTTTAAATGATAAGAGTCTGGAATACAACCATGTGTATCCAAGGGTTTATTTTTCCATAAACATTTCAAGGGAACATTTGTGCTTGTTGACACTAAACTGCAGAAAATGATAATATCCATTCCTAGAGAGATAAGCATAGCAGGCAGAAACGGAGAGCGGGGGGCGAACCTGTCTGCACATTTATATCCAGGATGGTGAGAGATGAAAAAAGTGATTCCAAAAGGTAATTATTTTTTTTTTTTTTTAAACAAACACGTTATACCTACTTGCTCCGTGTAATGGTTCTGAACAGAGCAGCCCTGATCCTACTCTTCTAGGGTCCCCTGCCAGTGCACCTGGCTCCTCCCCTCTTCCAAGTGCCTCCATAGCAAGCTGTTTGCTATGGGGGAGCTCATGTGGGCTCAATCCTGAGCTGAGCAGTCTGTGTCTATCGACACACTGAGCAGTGAGCTCTGCTCCCTCCTCACAGGATTTGATTGGTAGCAGCAGGAGCCAATGGCTCCCGTTGCTGCCCCCATGTCCAGTGAGGAGGGAGAGAGATGAGAGAGATGCTGTTTTTGGGCACAGCGCTGGATCAAGATTTTGCTCAGGTAAGTATTTAGGGGGGCTGGAGGGAATTCTGATCACAGGAGATTTTTTACCTTAAACTGGTTCTAAAGGTTCCTTTTTTCCTTAAAATAACACGTTATACTTACTTGCTCTGAGCAATGGTTTTGCACAGAGCAGGACCAATCCTCCTCTTCTCGGGTCCCCCACAGATGCTTGTGGCCCCTCCACCTTGCAGATGGCCCCCAGAACAAGCTGCTTGCGCTGGGGGCACTCATGTGTGCTTGCTCCTAGGCCAGTTCTGTGTGTCTATGAGCCAATGGCTCCTGCTGCTGTGTCTCAGCCAATGAGGAGAAACCAACCTGGAAGAAACAAGGCTCCTGTGCACAGTGCTGGATGAAGGCTGGGCTCAGGTAAGTACTGGGCTGTGGGGGGAGCTGCACACTGAAGGTTTTTTACCTTTATGCATAGACTACATGAAGGCAAAAAACCTTCATCCTTTACAACCACTTTAATTCAGAGAATTAAAAAACCTTTTACCTTTACAACCAATTTAGCCATAAAAACTGACAAAGGAGAAAGAACCAAAGGAATTCATCTGTCAGAACGAACGCTGGCCATACACTGATCAATATTCAGCTGGTGCAGCAAGGATGGGGAAAATTTCTTTCAGCGTGTGTTGACTCCCCTGATCAACAGAGGTCAAATATTTATTTGAACTTTGTCAAAAGGATCATTCAATGGCTGCAACCAATCAGCTGCTGCCCCGATCAGTATAGTCTGACAGCGTCTACTGCCGCTATTGGTATACAATGTACCGACAGACTGGATTCGTCCATCAACCTGCTGGCTGAACGAAAAAAGACTA